GTTCGAGCGGCTGTTCCCGGGAGTTCGCGTGGTCGGCATGGCGAAATAGTTGGCGCCATCGCATGCCACGGAATGTTGGCGGCTCTCCAAAGGTCGTTCTCCGGCCGTGAGGGTCAGAGCCAACGTTCCTTCGTTCAACGGTGTCCGAAAACATGAAATGACAGCACGGTATCGCACGTCTGTAAACTCTGGATCCTCAATTTTGGATACCAACGTGCTCCACCATTTCCGGTCAAGTTGACACGTTCGTTTATAGCCCTTGCGGAAACAACTTTCGAACCACTAGCTCCCAAGACACGATTCTCGAGTCCGTTCCGGAGTTCGCTAATAATTCGTTCTATGATCATAATAATACTGTGCGTTCTACGATGAGTTACTGAATAGGGAAAGCGGTCCAGCGCCGGCTCGGAGTCAGAATTTCCGTGTTGGGAAATGCGTTTCGATCGTGCACAGATTTTAGCCGACGGGCAGGCTAAATAAAAGTGGTCTCGTGCCCATCTAAAGGCCCGGATCTCATTATGTGCCTGTGCCATTCGGCAATAACGTTAGTGTTCATGAAACAGGTGATATACGGCGCTTCGGCATCGCCTGGAGGGGCGGGGGTGACAATGACGCCTGACTGGAAACTCAATTCCGAATCTCCGAATCGGCCATCATGAGGGCAGATGGTGTTATACCGGCTTGGCGCGCGCCAAGGTAGCTGGGTGGCGTTTAGGGTGAAAAGGAGGACACACGGTACAAGGTCACATGGTGACTGGGTAACTTGCCGACTCGGCACAACGTAAGTGCGCTCTTTCAATGGGGTTTCACCGAACTCGACTGGAATAATGGGCAGGTCTCCTAAGTGATGCGTTGGAGGCAATGCTTCATCTTGCCCCAATATCGACGGTAACGCTCATCGATCAGATAGGATGACTCGGTCGGACAGAATCAACTCGGTACCAGCTGACTAGTTGCTGCGGCACACGTTGAGCCATGGGGTCGTTGACCTAGAATGGCGGAACCGGACGGTGGATTTAACTCTGCCCACACCTCCCCAAATCAAAAAACTAAACCATAATTCCGAATTTATCTTGGTCACACATGTTCTTCAACGTATTTGGTAGTTTACACTAGTGGAAAAAATTCTCAGGGCTGTTTTTTCTACTTTTTGACCTTAGTCATACTTTTCTACCACAAAAAAAGGCCACAAAACCCTTCGAGTATGAATTTCTGGATGCAAAAACATGCAAAAATCAAAAAGATGGATGGAGAACCAGGGAGTCGAACCCGGCGCCTCTCCCAATCATATCCAGGTTCAACTCCGGATTGATGCTAAGGGAGCGCTCTACCGATGAGCTAGATCCCCACGTTATTTGGTGCTTCCCAGGAAATTACACGGACCCAAACTTCCAAGCCCGCTAGTATCTCGGGCGGTCACCTCGGAACCCGCCTCGTGGGTAGATACGCATGTCAAGGCTGGACGGACTTGGATGTCAATCTGGCTCAGCGTGGGCTGTCTGGCATTTCGTCCCCGAGTTGTCAGCATTCGCTGTTGCGCCAGAGCTGCACCACACCCACCACGGTGCGCTCTCGAATCATCGGGGCTATTGCACCGTTGTTACCTTCCCCTTTGCATCCTATGGACGAGATCCAACGTTAATGGCACGTTCTGATAACAACCAGCTCGATGCATACATTCCCGCGAACTCGCGCAATACTGATATTGTTAATCAGACACAGATTGTCGAAGCTAGAGATATTTCATACCTCTCCGTGCGGCAAAGTATTCGAATGTAGGATTGAAGAGCGAAAGCGGAGGTAGGTGTCAGAGCGATATAAGAGATAGATTTTGTCAGAGCTGGCGGGTTTTTAAAGGTTGCACTAGCAACTCGAACTGATGGCCATTGGCCTCTCCTAAATTACTAGCTCTGGTCCCACGAAACCCATCAAGACAACAATCTACCAGCTATGTGCATTCTTCCGTACAACTTGGAAAGTTCCGTCTGTTTGTCTCAACTACCAGGAAACATACTAGGGAAAATTCGTGCCTCGACCATTGATTCACAGATCACGATTTGGAGAAAGTCCGGGCTAGAAAAAAAGGAATCTGCGGCGGGCCTTCTCTTTGCTCACGCCCTCTCCGCGGCTTCTGGTGGGTGGCAGAGGGGGCGAGGGGAATTGCTCTGGAGATTGCCCTGAAACTCTCGAACCGACCAACGCAGATATATTCGTTTGGTAGCTCATAAGACTGGAAGTGATTGGACTCCTTGGAGAGCTGGGACTACGGGAGGGATGGCTCCTTGGGGGTCTGGGGAAAGGTCGACGGCCCACAGCTCTTGATGTGATGGTAGTTGGTTTTGCGATAGCCATGGTTCCTAGAGTTGATTGAGGGTAAGGTGTTGTTGTTAACCAGACAGTTTGTCGATATTTCATACCTCCCTGTTCAGGAATGAATCTGAATGTAGGATTGAAAGGCGAAGATAGAGAGGTCAGAGCGATATGAGAGATAGATTTACCGTAGCCCGGTGGGCTTTTAAAGGATGCACCAGCCACTCGAACTGGTGGCTATTGGCCTTTCCTCAATTGGCTGCTTCACACGCGGCCAACACCCCCCAGCCTACCCACCCAATACGCGACAAATGAAAGCGAGATGATGCCCTTTGCCAGATATAGGTTCACGACGAGTCAGGGGTAGATGAACACTCATTGTTTTCGCAGCATGACCATCGGGAATACGCAGCTAGCACGACTTGGGCGATCGCCAGATAAGTATTTAGACTGGAAAACTTGCATGCGGAAATGGCACTAAATTACATCTGGTCCATAAACATTTAATATTGGTCTTATTCAAACCATGCAAGAAGCCATCGGCTGGGTTTACGGACGGGCCAGCAGCGCTTGACCGATGAGGCATGGATAGCTAGTTCCTCGAGAACGCCCTGCAGCGGCCTCCCAGCACTTCTCAGACACGCAGAAATAGGACAGTTGGAGGCAGATTCTAACGTGAGATCTTCAAGTCAGACGACTGCGGAATGTTTTATCAGATGGACTTGTGCTCACTCATATCCATGCTGTGAAATCGCTGTGAAGAAGGGGGCGCGGTCAGCTGCTATGACGCGCAATGAACGTTCCTCGTGCGTTTACAACATGGAACCCCCGGAAGTTAACACACCGGAGTAGGGGTAATCATTCAAGTCTTTCCTCAACTGGCCTGTCCCCATGCGGCCAACACCTTCCCGCCTCCCTGCTCATCAGGCAACAAGTTAAAGAGATACCATGCCCATTGACTGATATAGGTTCACGGCGAGTCAGGGGAGACAGCCACTCGTTGTTTTCGCAGCATGACCATCAGGAACACGCGGCTAGCGCGACTTGAGCACATTTTCTGAGTTGGCAAACTCTACGGTTGCCGGTTTGGGACCGATATCATGGACTCGCCAAGCGCGAGCCTGGCCCGGGGTGCCTCAATCCGCGACAAGCCACCATGCAACTGGCGTCCACCACCTTCACTCTCGCCTACTTCCCTCGATATCTAATATCCACTTTATGGAAACAAACGCCGCTGCAACAGGGCTGCCCCACTATCTCGGGCGCCTCTTACATTGCTGCCTTGATCCCCCTGTGTCTCTTGTGCACGAAATCCGATGTTAGGGGCATCATCTCACAACAATCAGCTTCATGCATACCCGCTCGCGAACTTGCGCGATAGTAAAATCTTGCATTTCACGCCTGTAGAGGACAATCAAGGAGAGAGTATCCATCAACCATATCTATCCTGACATATCATGCGACGATTCGATTATCAAAAGGGATAGTGGAGAGGTTCTGAGGAAAGGGATTAACCGCGTCCCCAAACGTTTTTGTTGTTCCCTTCCTCTTGTTCTTCGCCTGTCAATAATATTATTCTTGCGCGATAAACGTAGCTCATATCTCTCAGTAATCTGTAGGCGGTCGAGTTATGTCGACTTCGGGCGTATGTACTTGCTCTGGTCCCACGACACCCACCAAGGCAACAATCTACCAGCTGCATTTATCCTGAAATACAACGCGCCAGTTCTCCTAGCGCCCAGTAACTACTGCGAGCCCGAGAGTAATGGAATTTATTCCGGACTTTTGCTCCCTCCGTTCGTCTCAACTACCAGGAGCCATACTCGAGAAAGAACGTGCCCAGATCATTGATTTACGGGTAGCGCTCTCTGCAGCCACGACAAGAACCCGAGGCTCTCGAGCCGACTGACGTGGACATATTTGTTCGGCTGCTCGCAGTACTGGACCTTGGGGAGCTGGAATGAGATTGAATACAAGAGTTACGACTCTTTGGACTGGTGCAGCCACCTCGGAGGCGCGGAGCTCCTGGTCCGTTCATCATGATGGTATTATCTGAACGTTTTACCATACCCATAGTTCCTACAGGTGATTGAGGGTTAACCAGACATAGTTCGTCGGAAGCTATGGATATCAATACCTCTCCGTTCAGGGGTGAATTTGAATGTAGGATTGAAAGGTGGAGATGGAGAGGTCGTAGTGATACAAGAGATATATTTTGCTGTAGCCGGTGGGGTTTTAAAGGGTGCGCAAGCCGCTCGAACTGTCGGCTATTGGCCTTTCCTCAATTGGCCTGTTCACATGCAGCCAACACCTTCTCGCCTGCCCACCCATTACGCGACAAATGAAAGCGATATCATGCCCATTGCCGTATACAGGCTCGCGGCAGGTCGAGACAGTCGCTGCTTTCGCAAGCACGGCCATCGGGAACACGCGGCCAGCGCGACATGAGCGATCGCCAGATGGCTATTTAGACTCAAAGACATGCGGAAATAATACTGAGCTCCAATCGATTGATCACATATTTCTCCTTACTATTTTTGACGATTCCCGAGTCGTCTAACGTCCTTGAGGCAAGTGCCAGGCCACGCCCGAACCCCTGTTGGCAAGGCGAAGCTAATGCCGAATGGACCCTGGGGTCTCTGCCCGAGCCTGTTATGGTCAAGATAGACTTGAGCCAAGAAAGAAAGTGAGTAGACAAACGCGCGGAATATGGCGACCTTGAGGATGTGCAGCAATTGCACCGCCCCAGGCTAACATACTGCGCGCCAACGAACAATGGAGTTCATCCCGGTTTCTTTAATATTTCCCTCAACTACCCCTAAACGTATTTGGGGAAATCACACCCAAACTGTTGATCCATAGGTTGTGATTTATAGAAAACCTGTGATTTCTCTCTAAGCTCGACTAGCCGGCATAACTACACGCATGGTCACTTTAGGTGTCGCAGTCTCGCTATTCCGAATTGTATTCCGGCTATCAATGCTTCAGGGTGATACAACGGATCATGAAACAACAGCTCCCAGCTGAGTAGATATACAATAGGAAATATGTGGACCAAAGTCTCTTAAATATTTCCCCCCGGTCACGTTAGGGAAGCTCATGTATATGCGGTGGTTTGAGGGAGACTAGGATGTCCCGCACGCGATCTCTAGTCATTCCTTCTTACCGAGACTCTGTTAAATTTCAACAAGTCGTTAGAAGAGCCATTTTGCTGGTACATGGTAGGATCTATTTACCTTTTCCTTCGGGGATGGGTTCGAATGTCGGGTTGAAAGGCGACGTTGGAGGAGAGGGAACGGTGTAGCAGATAGATCTTGCCGTAGCCGGTGGGTCCTCAAACGACGCCTCTGAAAAATCCCCGCCTTTATTCGAGACTCCCAAGCGCAAAATAAGCGGAAGTGTTTTCAAGACTTTGGTGAATTTTTTGGTCCCAGTTGGCTTCTCCATTGAGACCGAGGGCTGAGAGTTCATGTTCGGAGAATGGCAGAGTATTCAAGAGCTTAGGTGAGATGATAGTATCAATCAAAGAGTTAAAGGATGGAGTAGTTTAATCTGTTTTAGTTATGAGCCAGGCGGGATGAGGATGGGGGTACCGGGTGAGCGTTGGTTGGGAGTTCGGCTGGGATCCAGATGCCAGTGTGCCACTCGTTTTAAGAGCAATGGAAGAGATAATATGGACAACACCATCGAAAGACTCAGTAACCTGGACTCACCCATGACAGTCCTTGTCTGGAAGCCTGGCCAATGTATCGCCAACTCAAGCTGGCGGCGACTGGCCTGTTCACACGAGGCTGACAGTTCTCGCCTGTCCACCCATTACGCGGCAAATGAATGAGATACCGTGCTGATTGCCACTTATTGGTCGAAGGCGGGTCATAGTAGATGCGCACACGGTGTTTTCGCATTCATTCCATGATGGATGATAACCGGAAACACGCAGCTAGCGCGATATGATTGGCCGCCTATAGGTGGCTGCTTAAAAAAATGCGGAAAGAACACCAAGCCCCCATCAATCAATCATACTAATGCGACCCTGCA